GTATCATTGGTAACACCTGTGTTTACCCTACTATTTCATGTCAAAATGGCTGCTGGGAAGAAGGTCTATACCTGGACCCTGAAACTGAAGCAGCTTATTGGAATGTACTTATTGATTGATTTGATTATTTACACCTGTGCTTGTACCTGTACGCTGCTGGTTTCTTGGCAACCTCACCGTGGCGCTAAAGGTATTGGTAGGTGTATTTTTTAACTTTGGATATAGCGCAAGGACATGAGAGTGCTATTCTTGTCTAATGCTTGGCAAGAAAGAAAGTATGCATATTTTCAGAGATGTAGAAGTTTAACTGGTTATGTAGATGTCACAATTTATAATAAAGCTTTGAACTAAAACCCAATTCTTGTTTGATGGTAATGAATAAACTTTCCATTTATGTAAAGGTCTGCATGGACTGTACATGCAAAAAGTGTGTCAAATGAGCATGTGCTATAAAAGTAAAGTGGATGCTTGTTTTTGAAGAGAGGCTGTGAGAGGAGGCCCGTTGTTATAGTGCATCTTTAAGGGAGTACAGAGACACACAAAATACTTTGTTGTTCAGCCAACAACAAGCAAAGGAGCTCTTGTTCATGCTGTTGTGACGTCACCATCTTGTTTTGTAGTGCCACTGATTGTAGTATGTATTGGAGCGATGGTGTGCTTGCTGTCCACATGCAAGTCCGCAGCTATCCATGTCCTATATTAAGTATGACCAAACCATAAGCCTCGCTGTTGCTGTCTGACATTAATAAATTTTGCATCAGAGGTGTCCAATTACCAGAAATTAATGGACCCCTGCCAGCCAATTAGAATGGAGAATTCTCAGCAGTGATGATTTAAAAATGACAAAATGAACAGAAGGCAATACACACATATCCATCACAGTCGAGTCATTCACTATACAGGCAGAGTAAGTTAAGTAGAAACAGGCAGAAACAAAATGCTCTTGACAGGGTGATGGGCAGAACTGAAAGCAAACCAGAACGGCCAACAGACGGCTGACCGCAAACTCAGCAAGAGGAGTGAGAGAGAAGGTAGGAAGTAAACTCCAAGCAAATCACATTATAGCTCACCGGTTGTGACTGTGTGTTTAAACAGATATTCTGCTGAAATCCAAGTCTGCATTTTTCTCATTAGCACAACAATGTTGGCTCCCTTTGCACCCAGTTTGCTTCAGTGAGTACAAATGAGATGTTAGCAGAGGAGAGACAGACCGAGACAGGAAAAGTGCGAGCAAATAAAGACCAAAAGACAGCGAGAGCTTTGGGCAAGCTGATAGAGGAAATCAGTGGAGAGCCGAAGCTAGATGGTATTCTCCCAGTGTTGTGCAGTGGCCCATAACCACACTGATATGAGGAACAAATGAACAACACTGAGTTAATGCTCTCCTTGTGTTTGTGTGTGTCTATATGTGTTTGTGTGTGTTAAATAGTAGAAAGGACACCCAATCTCATATTCAGTCATCTCAGATTTTGATAATTATGTGAAAAAGGAATAAGCAAGTGAGGAGGGTGTCAGTGAGGATTAACAAACTAGACTGAGTGTGTGTGTGATGTTGGATTAATACCATTAAGGCCATGAAGCATCTACAGAGACCCTAAATAGACACAGTGACACACTAACACATTCTATTTTCCAGGAGGCTGACTTGCAATATATATTCATGAACCCAAAATGCAACGTGGATTCTGCTTAATAACATCTTGAGGGAAAGGCTGAGTAATATGTGTCTAAAGAGTGCACCGTCAGATTAAGAGAGTGATTGGCAATGAATGCTTAACAGTATCCTACTTGACGGCTGAAATATCTCATCAGAGGTGCGGCAGCTCTCAATTCTCCTCTTCAAGATGACGATAGGTTGTTGCGTTCATCAGCTGTCCTTGGTGATCTCGAGAATGAATGCAGTTTGGGCTTTTGCTGTTTTATACTCTGCAATTCAAAACATAGTCCTTGAGCTGATACAGACAAATGAATCAATTCAGCGAGTGTGGCTTTCAGAAACCAAATCACTGAATGCAGCTAGTTTTTATTTCTTAAGCTTGGAAAATGACTCAAACTAAATTTTTTGTTTGACTGCTGATTCCTGACATTTTACTGTGTGCAGGATCTTTTTGCCAATATTTTAGAGGTTTGAAAAGCTTTTAAAACAAAATATTGACACTAAAATACCTAATACCGATAAACTACACTGACAAAATCCAATTTCTGATTTAAAAAAAAGTCATCAAGCCAACCCTTATTCATGCTTGTTTATAGACATGTACAGGAGATGAAGTGAAGGCAATGTAGTTTTACCTGAGGTCGTATGTACTTTCATTAGTTCTTTTTTATTTCTCAAAATTTAAAGGATAAGTCTGTCAGTATTCTATATTTTTATCCCAAACAATATCCCAATATCCCATGAAAAGCCAAACAAAATTGAATTTGTCCTAGTATTTTGTGTAGAGCTAAAGCCTGATATATCTTATTCCTCTGTGCCATTGTTGTCCAAAAACTATTAACTACAATCAGCCACAGTGTTGCACTCAGTTCTTGAATACACCGCTCTGCTGTAAATACTGACAAGACCACCAAAGGCATATGAATCTACAGCTGAAAATAGTTCTATTCCTGTTTGACCAGCTCCAGTCACCCGCTGTTTGTGAAAATTACTTTACTTAAAAAAAAATTCAACCAGGTATTTGTGACCCATTTTAAAAAAAAAAAAAAAAAAAAAGAAACCTCTTCAGTATGAACAAGGTATATGTCACTTATATGATAAGGAAATAGGAAGTTGAAAATTGCAAAGTATAAAGAGAAGCATTGTTGATTTTGGACTTTTTGTTAGATTTGTTGACAGTAATAAAGAATAAATCTCATCTTTTATGCAGGATCTGTGACACCTGGAATTATTACACTTATTAGTCATTTATTATTCATCATTCAATCAGTCATTTATTGTTATTTTATCCTAGTTATGTACTTTATTATTTAATATTGTTATTCTGTTGTCCCCATATCGTAACTTTACTTTTTTCCCTTTAAACAGGTTTTGTTTGTTTTGAAATAAATCCTTGTACTAAGTATCTAGGATCAACTGTGACATATTCTTTTCAGATTGCCTTGATTTGACTTTGGGTAGGCTCAAAAGCATGCTATCATGATAGCTAGATGCCATAAAATACAAGATAATGAAAAACAAGACTGAGTGTCTACAGCCATGCTAAAAGATCTGTGAGGCTGTTCCTAAGCACAACAGTGCATCAGCATGTTAACATGCTCCCAATGATAATGCTTGCATGTTGATCTTTAGCAGGTAAAATTTTTACTATCAAGGCAACCCATCCAGTAGTTGTTTGTATCAACCTGCTGGCATCACTACAGGAAAAGTCAGGGGGTCAAAAAAATATTGGTGGTGCTAGATGTCAACATTTTATGACAAAACTTAAGATTTTTCAGTTTGGACTAAAGTGGTGGACCAATATTGCCTAGAGCCATGCCACTAGCATGGGTAACAAGGTTTCTTTGATGCCAGCCAGTTATGGATGAGGTAAAAGCACCAACAAAAAAAGAAAGAGGAGTAACATTTTCTTCTCTTTTTTTGTTGGTATACCCCTGTATGGCCCTTTACCAAATAAATAAAATAAACAATGTTTAAATAGTTGAGAGGCATTTCTTTCTTCCCAGCTACTTAAAGCTCTGATGATGTTGTGGCACCTGACTGGATTTGTTTATTCCTATAGCACATTTGGCTTATACGCAACCAAACATGCTGTTACCAATGAAAATGTATTCTGAAATAAAACACTAGAGAACAGCTAACAAAAACACTCTCACACACTTTTCCCTATTGATCTTCCATCTATATATCTTACTGTGGATTGGTAGATTGGGGGGTGTTCCTTGTGTAAACTGTTGTGTAAAAATGTTAGAAATATATGTATGCTGTATATGTGCGTGCTCATGTGTATAATAACTCCAGTAAGTATTGCTTAGCTCTTAGTGTGTGAGGTGAGGGGGTTAAAGGAGCCACTGAAGTGCTATGAGTTGTATTGATCGGAAGTTCCCCAGTGCATTGATTATAAGCCCTATGAAACTAGACAAGCAGAGGATTTAAAGCTTGACTGCAGAGTGCTATTGACGGGAGGAATACTACCATTCTATTTCTGCTCAGCGTTTGAAAGTCTGTTTTGTAAATGTTAGTTGTTATTGTCTATGCTGAGACAGTGCCAATATGGTACACATGCCATTTCAGCAAAGAAGTGACACAGGACATCTGGGACTTTGTCCAAGTTTAACCAGACTTGAGACAGAATGTGGATCATTAGTTTTTAAGCATGTGGGATCTTTCATGGATGTTTTTGGTCGTTGTACTGAATATTATAACAACCCATGTGTATTATGTTGGTGCTGCCTGTTTTTAAAGGTGTGTGTGTCCATTTTCTCTCTACAGAGCTCCATGTATTCGCTGGCCCTGAAGTGTCTGATCAGTCTGTCTACAGTCATCCTGCTGGGCCTCATCATAGCCTACCATGCACGGGAAGTTCAGGTAAATCACATGTACATACATCCACGTGCCTATACATCCTGTTGACAGCTTTAGTGGTTTAGCTTTGCTGAGATCTGAGAGGTGATTGGCTTTGCTTAGCATACAGACAAGAAGCAGGTGGAATCCGGCACCTGTAAAGCTCACTAATTAACAGGCCTATATCTTTGTTTTTGTTAATCGTTTTATCTTGTACTGTATTTTTTTATA